TATATATATATATATATATATATAGCCTTTTGATCCGTGTGGTTTACGCATCGGTGGACATTTAGTCGTGTGGAATAAAAAATTCTGTATGGACAATATCGAAATAATTTTTTTCGCCTACGTTTGCGTATGAAAAAAATGGAGTTACAATCGTAGTTGGTAGCTTTAATTGTTGACGATTGCTTGCTGAATTGTCACCTACCAGCACACGCCGTAAAGTGCGCTAAATTGGAGCAGATGCCTGCGGAACACTCGTGTCGATACCGTGCGGGGAACAGCTTCAATAAGTGAACATCCCACGTGAAAGCCAATTGTACCCGGTTATAATTGTACTCTTGTACAACAAATGCATTGCTTTATCTGGCCTATACCTTCAGAAATATACGTGGCGCGTACCCTCTAGGGAAGATAAATGAAGCGCGTGCCTAAGACACACGGTGAGCCGCGCCAGCCGAGCACGGGAGGGATATCGTGAAGATGCGCGGCGCGTTAACGAAGTATCGGATAATCTCCACCTTAAGTTGCAATTTCCCGCGAGCCACTCTTTACTCGTGAGAATGTCCGTCGTCCTTAATTAATTTACGTTTACCCGATATAAAAGTTACAGTTTAAGTTTTTCGCAACGATAGATGTAAAAAAAAAGGCGAGGTAGAGACAGAAGGGAAAAGAACGCGTAACTGGACCCGCGAGCATCTCTCTCGCGTCGCTGCATCTCATAGGAGGCTTACGATGCCATTGGTAGACAATGGCGTTGTAAAACGGGACGAGCACGCGAGAGGTATATCGTCGTCGTCGTCGTCGTTCTTGCAATGGATGCAACACGAACATTGTCAAGCGTCAACTCCGCTCTTTCTCTCCGTTGCGAACCAATTTCGACTGTGCGAGTCGCGCGCACAGAAACTGCATAAATATTTCTGCTTTAATTAATTCGACTAACTCCAGAAAATTGAGTTAAGCAATTGAAAGCTGAAATCTGACTGAGGATATTTCAATAAAGCGGTCTGGTTGATCAAGTAGATATCATACACATTTCTCTTCGGTTTAAACATTAAAAACGTTTTCTTATATATTCTATTTTTATATATTTTATTTATTTTAGTCGAAATATATATTCGCTCTCGTAATCTCGATTGCGTTTGAAACGTTTTTAGAAGTGGAAAATATTTACAATTGTTAAAAAACATATGAATTATTAAAAAAATGTTTTTTTCTTTTTTTTTTACTTTCAAGGCATAAATCGAAGCGTCATTAAAAATGGATTTTAAACCGAACTGAAAACCAAACCAAGTGTAAATTCTGCGGACCGCGGCGGCAAATTGGATATGCTTCGCAGGTCTGCGTTCGGTGATAATTGCGATGCTAAACAAAGTCGGGTCTGTTAAAGAGCCGGTCGTCGAGTTACGCATTATTTTTCGCAGCAGGCGCGTGCGATCGATTTATCGGCCGCAACGAAAGTGGAAATAAGGAAAAAAATAACAGTTTCCTCCTTGTCTAGGAGACTAAAAGAAAATAACTGGACGGCCGATGTATCTTTAGAAAAAGCGGGAAAGCCGGCCAGCATCACGTGACCTTTGCAGAAATCGATACCGCTCTCTCTATCCCTATCATCTCACGCGACCACATGTCGTTGATGAACCTTTTAATTGCTGTCGGCGCATTTCAAATTCATTCGTTTAACGGAGCTAGGACGCTCCTCTTTTCGTGGAAAGTCCAAACGCGGAATAGGAAAGTTCAAACACACAGATAATGTACCATTGATAATAATTTAGGACTTATAATGCCAAAAGTTCAAATATAATAGAGAGTAGAAACGTTTCGCTGATACATTCATAAATCAAAGAGGAGAATCGCTCCGCCTGTTCGGCGTCAAATGCATCCGCGATTTTGATCGTACGCTCAATATTAAACGAGCCGGATAAAAAAAGAGGACTTGAAATCAAACGAATCGCATTTGGCCGCTAATTGCGACGTTTTTTTTTATGACAGAGAGAATCCTGGGGGGGTCACGGTATTTCGAAAGATTTATTTTATAAATTGTAGTTTATTTCGAAAATTTTCATGTCGATGTCGGCTAAAAAGTGTGCGCGTATCGCAAAAATTACGAGTTTTACACGGGTTTTCGAAATGCCGATAACGCTGCGCGAATTGGATATCTTGAAAAGCGAAACACACGCCCCCCTTCCCGTCCCTTCCCTTCTCCCCCCTCTATATGTCTATATGGGTTAAAAGCGACGTATGTTTTTAAATTAAGGAGCACGTGCGTACAAACGACACATTAGCCTTTGACATTAAATACATTAACATACAGTAAATGCTATTGAATTATCCATTACACACGTTTAATGCACCATCAGAAACAAATAAAGCTGGAGATTTACATTGTTTTGCGTGTCACCTGTCCTATCAATTTTCGCGGAAATCTTAAGGAAAAAAAGAGTGAAGAAAAGAAATTAATAAATAATATCGTAACATTATTTTTTCTTCTGCCGTGACGTAAGTGCCGTGCGCTGTTGGAGCAACTTTTGCTCTTGTTTTATGAAGAATGTAACTTTGCGTTTCTAGAAAAAGCTCCAAGATAGCACGGTGTGTTTTATGGACTTCGACGAAACTTCGATAGCCTGCGGTCTCATATGCAATTCCTATTGGTACATCCATAATGTTGAAGTGGAGCAGAAACGTGTGTGTATGTGTAATGCGCTACATTAAAGCGGAAATGAAAAGTAAAACGGACGATGCGTTTAGTTCGCGCGCTAAAACTCTTCGTTCGCGCGCACGCACGTGGGGGTGCGTCCTTAAGCAGAAGGCGGCTCATGCTTTGCCAAGGCAACGTATTGCGTACCTGTTTATCCGGCTCTTTGCCTTTGGCGGTGATGAGTCGATCGCAATAACAGCCTTCCAGCAGAACGACGCCACTGGGTCGTGAGCAAGTCTCGTTCTCGTAATAGAATAGCAGATTCTGTAACAGACGTCATAGCCGCCTATGGTTAACGCTCGCTTTCCTTTTACGACGGGCGGGAGGAGGGAGAGGGGCGAACGTGAGAAAATGAGCAACCGTCATACTTTTTGTATATCCACGGAAAATTATGACGTTTATAATTAATGATACTTAACGTTTCGCGCCTGTCATGTACAGTACAGTAGGGCCGTGTCACGTTTTAAGAGTTTTGCAATAAAATAAACACTTTAATAACAACAGTTTTAGCTATAAATATAAAGCACTCTTATAAATTGACACAACGTTCTATATCTAACGAAAAGTAAATTTAAAAACAATTTTAGTGTGAAAAATAATATTTATTTTTATAATAATTCATTATTTTGTCAGTTTTCCTTTTTTATTTTTCGATTTTTCCAAGATTGCAATAAATTAAGGGTGCTTTGTATTTATGGCCAAGGCTTTCCGCGTGTCTAGAAGATATTTAATTCAAATCAGGTCGACTCGAGTCAACTTAAGTCATATTATGTGGCTTAAGTTTCCATTACTAAGTCTCCGCCGTGCATATAACGCTATCTCGTGCCGGCAGGAATGTCTGACCATATCCAGACCGTTTCTACTGAGGAAGCGCCCGACTCGAGGCGCAAGGCATGAAGCATTACAAGCTCTCCTCTATGCTTGCATAGTAAGAAAATTCAGCATATTACGCGAAAATACAGTAATTAAAGCTTAACCTATTTAGGATTGTGTACCTACATGTAAAATTTACCTTGGCGTATTTCAATTACGTTACAGCGCGATATGTGTTAAATATACGTAACATTATCCAAATATGTTTTTATCTCCCTTTACCGAAATAATGGTTTGTAATGTACGGAGTTCGCATGGGTGGAAAGCGGAAAATCGTGCCCTGCACGGCTCTACGCGTATGAAAACATTACACAAATTCACCAGCGTTATTAGAAAATATAAATGCTGCAAAATAATAATATCGTCTGTGGCTTTATCGCCGAATCAAATTACAGGGCGCACGTGTGTGCGCGCGTGTTGCCGGTGCAAGATTCGTGCAATAAATATTTCGATTGTACGTGCACTCATTTCATAAAGCCAGTACATCCCACCGGATAACCCGCCGGATAAAATTCGCGAAAGCTGATACGTGATACGCGAAGCTCCGGGACGATTTCGCTTTTGTCGCGACCTGACATTATCGACAAGCGTCCGGAAATGTTGTAATCGCGGCGCGGTTTAAATAGTATTGACAAGTCAAACGAAATTTTAATACGCCCTGTAATACGCAATTCGCCTAATTGCATCGTGCTCGGCTTGCACGTCGATTTCAGCGACTCGTGTTGGCGCGGATTTGCAGAAAATTTGTTGATTGTGTTGAATTACAAAACGAGAATGTTACGCATTTTTGTCGGTAAATACAGTACAATTTGCGACGACAGCGCTCGCTTATAGCAATAAAATTGTATTAAATGAACTTACTTCGCGAAAGTATATATAAGGGAAGGAAAAGAGGATACCCTAGAGATACTCTAGAGATACAAATCTTAGATTAACTTCTGTCTCGGAAATTGCATGTACGTAATTTGCCGAGCGCGCCACGCAAAAGAGAAAGAGAGAAAGAGAGAGAGAGAGAGAGAGAGAGAGAGAGAGAGAGAAAGTCCCATTCCTTTTACTAGTTTCGAACTCGCACTCTCCGGAAGAATGTAAGACGCTCCCGCGTGAAATGATAGGGTATCCGATCTAGATTCAAGATAAGTTTATTAAGCTGTAAATAAAGAGCGCGAGTTACCTCTGTTATCCAATGATTCGAAACGTCTCGTCGAGACGCCCGATTATCGCGCATCGCGCAAAAGTTTTGATCCGCAAACGCGGACGAAGCGAGACTCTCCATCGCGCGACGATATCTTCGTTTACTTTCGCAAACACAATGAGAGAGATATTCCACTTTATTTATTACTTTATTCACGAGGGATCTTACTCAAGCAAAAAGAGATGCGGCGAGGGTTGCCGTGGCGAGCCCCGATATTTATCCGATGCTATCTAAACGGAAAAGAAACGGCAACACTTCCTGTATTTATTTGATTCTACTTATTGCTTTCTAGTAAATAGAGCTGTTTTAAACTCGAGCTGCAGGTAAAGCGCGCGCGTGAGTAAATCCCGCAGTACTTCATAGATTGTTTTTCTTCGGAAACTAAAATTAGTTAAACGACGAGATGACAAACTCTTGTTGTTAAAAAAGAAAAAGTTGAAACTCATTTGCGATGCGATAACACGACTTTTAATAGAATAATTACAAGTTTCGTGTCTGCACCGTAATTGAGCGGCTTCATGATCGCGAAATCATATAACAAGAAGATTTACTGCTGGCTCAAGGGATCGCGCGATATTAGAACGAAGAGAGAGAATGAGAGAGATAGAGAGAAAGAAGCGGCCGAATTCTCGGCGCTCCCAATACAAGCGACGAGGCATCTGTCGCGAGTTATATCGAAAGTTCTTTCTCTAATTGTATCAGCGAAGACGGCTATATCCCGAGACGCGCCGTGAGAGTTAATGAGACCTCATTTCCGAAGTTTGTTAGGCCACGAGTAGACAACATCCCCGCGAGCGAGAAGAAATTTCCGAGGAATCGAGGAAGAAGCCTTGTGCGGTGCAAGTTTGCGCGAACTTTAGATATCGTCTCGTTATTTTAATTCAACAGAGTCATTAAATACTTGAAAATTCCACGCTAAAGTAGTGACGTCATTTTATTTAAAATAACGCTCTGACTACGGGGCTTGATGATATCGTTTCGCGATAACTCTTTCGCGGCGACGAGAGTAAACTTCTTGCGGAGAGAAGAGCCTCGGCGATTAATCTCGGAGAATTGCAAACTGTGTGTCGTTATATACGAAGTAAAGTATAATACTAATCGCAAAGTTTGATTTTCTACACTATCCGAGAACAGGAACTGTATGTGTTACAGAATAATGAAAAGGTAAATTTACGTTTAAATTCAGATTCGGATTCGGATTCGGAGCGTGAGATTCTCAAATTGGATCACACAAATTGGATCGCGGGGATCCTGCCTCGGATATTGGCAGGCGACAGTTCATCAACAAAACAATTCACTCACCTGATAGAGAACGAACCATCGTTGTTGCCACTTGGTGGAGTCAGCTGTCCGCTTGTACAAATATCCTGACAGCGAGTGATCGTAATGCGCCTTCTCTGAGAGCATGACCAGCTGGGAATCATTTACCCTCACTGTAACACATTACAGGCGCGTAGGCCCTTGTAAATGGAGCAATTGGAGCAATATATGCGTGGCTATTTGGATTTTAACGTGTATATAAAGAACGCAATGCGTCATTTGCGTGAATTTCCCGGATATATTTACAAAGTGAAATTTATTCGGAGAACAATTCGCTTTTGCGAGGAGAAAGAAAAATCTGTTTGTAAACTTTTATGAAAATTTAATATCAGGAGTTCCATTATAAAATGTAAAATATTACGGGGCAAATAATTAAATTAACGAAATTAACTCGATTAATCCATCCTTTTTCTGTAACAAGTTCGCGTTTGAAGCTCGTCTACGAGTTTTATGCTTTATGCACCGCGACTTTTCTGAAAATATATTAATTACGCGAATAGAAATCTCTCTCTATCTGTGTGCGTGCGCGCTTTCGCACAAATCAGCGCAACGTGTACAAATGCAAAATTACATCCGAATTGTAAAGTCACATACAGGATATGTCCATGCATTTCGTATGGCACAACAATGCGCTGCATCACAATCACGCATCGAATTATCTCGCTATGCAACCGTTTCCAATAGCGCTCAAAGTACGAGGGCGAATCTTGTTTGCCGCATCGCGCATCAACGTAAATATTAATAATCCGAGTACGAGCCCCGCGATGATAAACAATAACGGCACAGTCTCGCCGTTTATTCGTGCACAACGGAATCAACGTTCAACGAGTTGCAAAGTCTCCCCTTCCCTCCCTCTCCTTGCCCTTCTCCCCGTGTTTCAAAAACGTGTCTCTCATCTGAGAAACGGAGTAATGAAAATTCCGCGAAAGACAAACGATTCGCTACGTCTAAAAAATTGCGCGCGATCGATCGCGGCCGAATAGGAGTTTTAATCGGACAGTTGGGCGGCCGCGAATGGATCGTTCGCCCGTCGCGCGTGCTCTACGTTGGTCGATGCCACTTTTGCGAGTAGATTTCAATCTCCGATACGACGATACGATTCCCATAGTTCAGTTCCGTTTGCGAATGTAACTTTGGTTTAACTGCAAGCGATCGCGCCGCGATCGGCCGCGGAGCGAGCGCGTGACGTGCGATTCGAGTCGCTCGCTCGGTTACGACGACGGTCGTTTCTCGTTCCGTTTGTCGCCGTCCGTGTTCGTGTGTTTAACTTTGGTGCGAAGATACGTGACGTTTGAGAAACTTTGTTTCGTTACACCGAGTTTCGGAGAAATCGCACTCCAAAGTTTCCACCGCGGCATGGCAGAACGACGGAAACTCCGTGTAATCCGCGCATGCACGAGTACGCCACTCGTACGGGTGCCGCCGTACGTGAAAAACGGAGCAAGGGGATGAGGACGCGCGAATATCGAGACCGATTATTGTTTGTATTTATTATCTTTGCGCGCGCAGATGGCAAAATCTAATCTCGGTACGGGCGTGGAAAATTTTCCGGCAAACAATGGATTTAAAGCGCAAGCACTATCGTAAATTCCGATGAGAGGGAGAGGAAGGGGGGAGAGAGAGAGAGAGAGAGAGAGAGAGAGGAAAAACTTTCCAATGCAAATATTGTAGTTCCGAAAACGGGGAGCACATGAACCTTTGATGTTCGCGCGCTTATATATTTAATATATAAACCCGCAATACACTATTTGTTTGCCGGAAAAGAAAGTATATCTATACGTTAGCGATTTTGCTCATAGATTTAGTACGCGTGCCGTGATTAAATGCGCTTTGTGGTTGTTGGATTGAATAAATGATTAATACACCGCTCGCGTCTCCCGGAAACAAAATAAATTCCTAAAATACGAATTTATGAAGTACATTTATTTGTCATATTTCAATTTCATTAAACAGCGATGCGTATATCGAATATTAAACGTCATATAGTATTGATCACGGAATCAGAGAGAGTTTTGCGAAAATATATGAATTCGTAATTAACGTCTCTTTGCATGATGTTTTAATTTTATTTAATATGTGACACGTTGAAAATGTGAATATAATAGTGATCCTTAATTCGAGAGAATTAATCGAAATCCTAGAATTTTTCCTGTAATCTCCCGTTTGTCACACAACTTCGCGAATTTCATCTAAGTTGGATTATATCGAACGAAAGGAGAATTATTTTAAGCAAGAGAAAAGTATTATTTTTTTATGTTTTCAATGAAAAGATAAAAAATGAGGTATATCTCACCAGTTTTTTGCATTTTGGGACTGAGCATGATTGCAGGTCGCTACCAAAAGGGTGCCTCCCCCAGTTGATCCTCACAGCGGTGATTGATTGTCCAAATTACCTTGTTCGGGTTCTAATAGTGTAGAAAATAAAGTCCCTCGACGTTAAACGTCGAGAACGTGTCTCGATCGGTTTCGGAGACGTCGGTCCGCGCGGATTCCATCAGAAGCCGTGCCGTTGCATCTGCAAAACACGGGGCGGCGAGGTGAGAGGGGAGAAAGGAATCGGATCCGATAAGTGTAACGTGTGACACGAGAGATTGCGGATCTGTATGTGTCAATAAAATTGTCCATTCTCAAAACCGCGGGCGTGTTACCGCCGTGTCCGCGCATTCAACGGAGGTAAATAACGTTGACAGATACCATTAATATCTATTAATATGTTTATCGTTACGGTAGCATATTGACGTCCGATTTAGCTGTATATATTCCGGGAACGTGATATTGCTGAGCTTCATCACACACAGAGGGACGCTCGGCAGAGGTAACGTTAATTTGTATAAATCAGATGGATCATTAATTCGCGATGGGTAAATATTGTTATCGAACCGTTATTCGACGTAACACGAAGTTATTCGTATCCCTGAACAAACGTCGAAACTAATCGTACTGCGGCGTGTCCCGTCGTTGTGCTGCAGCTACATAAAATATGCGCCGGAGCGTAATTTTACGGCGACTGAATCGAAATAAAATGTAACTATATAAAATGAAACTCGATTTCTCCCCCCCCCCCCCTCCCCTCCGAACGCGATGGCGTTAATTCCAACAGAATACCAACGTCGTTATCTTACCGCGCGCGCTTCCGGCTTCCTCTTAACTCATTTATCATATTATATCGAAACCATTTGTTTCGCGTGTCATTTTTAGCACGTAAAGGCGAACGCGTGCGAAACTGCCGCCGCCGCGCCGCGCCGCTACGAGCAGGAAATTGAAGCGACGGCATACGCAAGGACCGCGGAAATAAGATCTTAAGCTATTTACGATTAAAACCCGATATTCTCTAGACCGCTCTCGAGTACTTAATAGCTTTAACGACGGTGCGATTTCAATGATAGCCGTTACGATTACTTCCGATTCCGGCTGATTGCGAGTGTAACCTTGGCGCTTTTTCGTATTAATATCCTTACACCCGAGATATCGATCCGCTGAAACACATTAATCTTCTCGAGAGTTCAGTTAAACGGAAAAAAAAATTATTTCAGTCTTAGGCAAGAGATATTATTTCTGTGCATTCCAATGAAAAGTTCTATACAGGATACAGAGCTTAAGAATATTACAAATTGCCCTCTCGGAAAATTGGAGATATGTATATATGTAGGAAAATATATTATATTGGATAAAATCTTTTCCAGCATTTCTGGGTTCGTCTTTCATACGATATATGAGATATCGCTACCGGAAAACGGCAAGAGAGAGTTCTTCGTTTTTTCAAATAAAATTATCTTTCCTTACATAAATCGACTCTTTCCGACTCTGTGTAACATATTTAAGCTATAAGATCACCGAAAATGAATATTGCATAAAAGATATTTCGTATTTTATTCCGATACGATCCGATATAAAATACGATGCATCTCGTAAAAAGTATTCATTTTTCCAATGACCTTACTTTGTATGTAGGATATGGAGAAGAATCGATTGACGTAAAAAGAGACGTAGCGGTATTTGAAGGAGAAAAACAATTGCACATTGCGGATGCATTCGTGTATCTATGCGCGAAGAATAGAATCATTAATCGATCAAAGGTCAATGTGAATACTTTACACGAAATATTTTATACGTGTATTTTATATTAGAGTAAAAGGAGAGTTCTCCTTGCTTTCACGGAAATTAAAAAGAGAGAATCGATATGTACGTATAAAAGACATTTTTACTTAAAAAACGAGAGGCTAATAATGATACTCTGTACAAATAGAAGGATAATCCAATAAACCCCAAAATGTTAAAGTTGATTTTGTCGCTACCTTTAATAATTCACGAGAGAATAACTTGCAACACTATTAATTTTACACACCCTGTATATAATGATTATATTACCCCTGTATATAGTAATTTTGTACTCAATAACCCCGTAATATTGATGGAAATTAATCAATATTTTACGGTTTATTTTATGGTTTATAAATAAACTTCCACATTTACGCCGGTTAAATGATTAAACTAGGATGAGATTCCATTGCATGTAGAGTCCGTTTACAAATGAAAATGTACGGTGAGTTATACGATAGCTTTTTATTTAAAGCTCGAGAGCCGCGCGCGTAGCTCTAGGAGTTTTCCGATAAATATGCTCGGGTATAAGGATCCATTTTTTTTAAATACTCGCCAGATATACCCTTTTAAAAATATCTCCTTGCATTTCCTTTATAATTAATTACTCCATTTGTCACCTTCTTCGTCATTTTTCCACTCTCTCTTTGTGACAGAAATTTTAATTGTATATACCTTCACATTCTCGCGTTTCGAAATTACTTAAAAACGCGACGACCGTCAGATTTAATCTCGGAGCCGGTGAGAGAAGAGGAGAGAAAAGATATGACTCGCGTCGCCGCGTAATATAAATTCACTTTTTCCCACCGTTTGCATTTACGTTAATGAGCCGTGATAACAGCTTTTTTTCCTGTCGATATTCTGAATAAGGATCATCATTTCTCGCGAAAGAAATCGAGGTCACTTACAAGGAGAACTGAATGGACAAAAAAGAAATTGGCGCAATTGAATGAACAGATTTGAGATGATTTCACGAGAGGTGAATTTTTGAAAGACGGAAAAGAGTCCTTGTGCGAAAAAGTCCTTTCAAAATTCTTTCCTTTGGTTCAGAAAACGAAAAGGGAGAAGGAAGAGAAAAGAAGAATCAGCAGACTAAGAGAAGATTCAAAGTGTATCTCTTCTCACAGTACCTGTGTGTATTTTGTCGCACGCGCGCGTCGTACTTCCACTCTTCCCGCGTTGTCACTCTCTTTTTTTTTCGCCAGCCACCGGAGTCCTCCGCGCGAGATCCCGCCTCGCCACCTGTTCGTGCGTGCTCTCAAGACCGCATGCCGTATAATCACCACCCACCCCGTTCCTCTTCCTCCCGCTCCGTACGACACCCTCGAGAAAATTGCCAATACGGCTCGTCTATCCTTCCCCCGCTCTTCTTTTTCTTTCTTCTTCCGCGGCCGCGAGATTACACCGGAAGAGGTCGGCGCGTTGCCGGACCGGTTTTCCCTCGCGCTGGGTTCCCTTGGCAACGATTGACGACTCGGTTTCCCGGTTCCCAGAACGCCGGCTTTATTTTCGGTATAACCAAGGCGGCGATGTAGACGCGTACGATATAGACGCTGGCGGAGACGACGTCCCGTGATGACGGCCGGCGGCGACGGCACCCGACGCTCCTCTTCTCATGGTCGGGGGAGACTCGGCGACCTGCGATGCTACGGTGTTGGGGGTTGCGACGTGCCTGACGCGCGAGGGCGACCGACCGACCGACAAGCTCCGTCCACCGTCTATATATCGCGACACGCGCGCGTCCGCCGCCCCGTGAAAGGATCCCGGAGGCTGCGCCGGATGGGCCCGCGAATGCGCAAGCTCACAAGCCTCGTAAACTCACCCTCTGCCCGTAGGCACCTCACCTTCTCGCCCTTTACGCGCAGGTGGGAAAGACAGAGGTAGACAGATAGATAGGGAAAGAGAGATAGCCATACCTATGCCTGCTTGCCTGACTGCCTGCCGCCTGGCTCTTGCCAGGCTAACTTGAATCCAACCTCGAGAACACCCCCGTTGGCTGTGCAATCCAGATCGGACCAAGTTGAGTTGTGTATATTAGTGTCCATACTAAAAAGAGTTTATTTCAATACTGAAGAGAAAAGTCTCGATAGATAAGCGCAACAAGTACATACTATAGTCAAAACATCTCAAAGTGCATAAACAAATAAATATAGAAACAGCGATATAAAACGAAATGTAATATTAAATGTAACGCATGTTGTATATAGCATGCGTGTGTATACATTCTACCATCCATTAGTTCTTTTCCACGTACCTTTCAAGGTTTTAATTTAATGAGTGCGCACATTTTTTGTCCGCGTTCAAAGAGGCATTCCTGTTTGAAATAAAATATTGTATAAGTTGTATGACCTTTTCTTCTAATGAAGTTTTTTGTCTTTACAATTTGTTTAGATTCTCATTTGTTTTGATTTGTCCGCTAAATACGAGGACTCTTTAGTGTTAAAATTAATGAAGTATATGTATACTTGTAATTTGATATTCCGCGAGCATAAATTATCGTTCACAGAGAGAACTCACAAGGGGGGAGGGGTGCGTACTTTACTTCTGGAAATTAATAATGTACTGTTCTCCGTGGCAAGAGTTACATTAATTATTACCCAAGCTAATCCGCCGAAGTCCACGGCGAGCGAATATTTTGCATGTTTATTTGTCGTTGAAAAAGCACTCATAATGGTTTCTTTTCCTTCAAAGAAATGATACTCTTGTTAGAAGATTTTTATTCCAGGCTATTAATAAAAGTAGAGTGTATAACTTTCTATCTTCCATGCGGAAAAAGTATCAATTTATCAATTAAGAATATATTAAGACTACTTAAAATTCAATACACATAATACCTAGGATTTTGTCCTCGAAGCAAGAGTCGCATCTTTGAAGCTGGACTACTGAAAATACTTTAAATCTTAATTATGGGTAATTAACAATTGCGTTAGCGTCTTTATTTAAAAAATATCTACCTCACTTTGTTTTATTTGTGTGTGTGTGTGTGTGTGAGTGTGTGTGTGTGAGTGTGTGTGTGTGTAAGAAAAAATCTTTTCGATTATCTTACTCTAATATTTTTATGCACAGAATAATGAGAAAGATTGTTTTACATTAAAACAATTAAATATACAACCTTGGCCATAAGTATAAGGCACAATTTATTGCATTTTCTTGGAAAGGGCAATAATAAAAGCTAAAGGAGGACCAACAAAATATTAAAATTATTATAAAAATATATTTTTTTAGTAAAACTGTTTTTTAATTTATTTTTCGTTAGATACAGAACATTTCAATTTGTGGGAGGTACTTTATACTTATGATCAAGAATGTATAACTTTATCTTTAAAAAAGTGCAATTGCATCTTGCAAGTACATCGATATATTGATCGATATATAAAAAAATATAATCACAGACTGATGGATTATACTAAACAGTGACGGTTCTCTATTACTTCTTCTGTTACTCTATCTTGACTTAGAAACTAATTCACTAATTAATTAGAACTAATTCAACCCAGTTACTAAAATCATTCTGTATGTAATGTCTGTCCTTGTTTCGTGATCCGTTCAAGGAAAAGGACGCCAATCCGTGCCGCGCCCAATGTTAGGTATTCGGTGTTGTGCCACACGTAGGCGTCACGCACAGGAAAGGAAACGATCGCGGGCGCAAAGCGGCATAATTGGCGTAACGACAATAATGAGCATTGTTACCCGCGAATTGCTGAATTATAGATACGTTCCTTTGGCTCGTAATCGGATTTACCGTTGTCGGGGGCAATCGGACTATTGCAAAGCGCAACTGAGCGGCGTGATTCAACCGGGCGCTCCGTGGGTCGGAAGTGTGACGGTAAACTCGGCATTGAACGCAAAACGGAACGCAGCTCACGCCGCCTCCGGACCTAAACTGCGAAACGCGCGTCGCCCGCATGCGTTCGTACACGCGCGTATACCACGTAAATAGGTGTCCTCTTCCTTCGCCTCTCCAAGTTACGGAGTTCAAAGGGGCATTTTGTCAGCCTCCGTATGTTGAATACTATAACTGGGATGTTACGACGCATTACACATAGGTATGTATATGCATAGATTCGCATTACGGTGACTGCACTTAAAGAGTTCCTTCGCTTTGCATTCCCCGGAATATAACATATAAAGCACAGAGAGATTTTTAAAGTACGTATCTCGCGAGCAACGTTTCATCGAATGCGCACGTACTTTTCATGCCGCGTTATTGACAATTTATACCTATTTTATTAAATAAAAATTCGTTTTTTATGTAATTTATGCATTTGTTACAAAATCCATTTTAAATACATGTTTTTTCTACGAATAAAAACAACACGGGTACAACTTTCGTTAGACAAATAATAACAGCACGTAGATGAAAAAAATATCGTAAAAAGGTTGTATGTGTATCGAGAAAAAAGAGCGAGTAAAAAATAATAATATTCTCCATTGGGTTTGTATAAAATATACATCGTTAATCTTAATACGCGTGAATACGGAATACAGTAAAGTTAATAAAATATCTCGCCTCTTGCGTCCCTTTTCACGCTGAAGATCTCTCTCTGCGTTATGAAATATCCGTTGCGCGTATATCAACGGGCGTTACTCAATTTGTGATGTACACTGCATTGATAGATGAATTTCTCCCTCTGCCAGTCAAGCTGCAACGTGTTAAAACGCACATCGCGTGCGTTTTAAATGCAGCAACGTAAGGGTAATTAGAAAATTATATCGCACACTTACAGTTCTGTCCGGGTCTGTCTCCGTCTTTCTAGATTTCTCAGACGATTCCGCATTTCCCATTCGTTCCTTCTCATCCTCGAGAAAACTGAATCATGCCAAATTAAAAATCTCGTCTCGAAATTAACAGTTAATAAATATACAAAAGCACGAATTACCTATGCTCCTGTTTAAGTCTCAAATCCTGAGAGTATAATTCCGTTACGGCAACAGTTTCGTTATTTTCAGCATTGAAAATTTCGGAGTGGAACTTCTCTTTACTCGTTTTTCTACTCACAGACGATCTAGCCTCTCTCGTGTACCGTTTACGCAAGGTGAATTTATTGTAAAGCCTATGCTCTTGGGAATTATCCCGACAGCTATCGCGATCCTTCTTCGCTTCGATACGCGCGGCATTCGACTCGGTGTTCTCGGCCGCGTGGGAGATCAAAATATTGATTCGATTATGCAGCTCCGACAGTTCCTTCAAGTTCAGCGACTAGAAAGAATAACCGGTAACGAACCGAAACGCGAAAAGTTAGTTATTAACCGTACCTGCAACCAATTCTCCGCGTCGAACGGACTCTTCTCGATTTTCATAATATCTTCGAATCTCGCCTGTAATCTCTCGACATGTTCGTTATGCCTCTTACGAAGAGCAATCAAGCTGCCGTCATACTTTTTCTTCAGCAACGTTAATTTGTTCTGATATTCATCCACTTGTTGCTGTTATTAGATTAAAAAATTAGTTAAAGTAAAAATTATAAAATATTTTTAAAATACATTAAAATTTTTTAATTACTTTTAAAGTTATTAATTATAATAGTTTTTTAATTTACAAAAATGACGCTGAGAGAAAAGAGAAGAAAACTTATATGTATATATAAATTTACTTTAACTGTAGTTTGCAGATCGTTTTTCTCCTGCAACAAATAGGTAACGCACTCCTGGAGATTCTTTATTTCGCGATCTCTCAGTTTTACGTCGTCCATCAGATTTTCAATTTCTTGCAGTTTTTCCTCGTATTGTCTTTCAAGAAATCTCAACTTGTCCGCAACGTTTTCAGAATTACAATCCACTTCTCGAGCGACCGGATCTAATGTGTCCTCATCTTCTTGATAAGACTTGAGAGAATCCGCGAGCGTTAGTTCGATTGTATAGTTCGAGACTGAGTCGTTAGGCATTTTGACGAAAAAAAAAAAAAAAAAGAAATTCAGTTCTGTAATTTAATAAGCAATGAAATTTAATGTACCTTCTCAGCATATATTTTTGTTTGTTGCTTTCCTCCCTCATCTTCGATTTCGAGAGTTTCTTTATCCTGACAGCGTTCAGACGCGTTCTCTCTACCGTATTCTCGAATGTCTGTCTGGAGACGCAGAATTGTCTCGTAAATTTTCTTGGGAAGCGTGTACAGCGCGTCCTTCAGAGATGACTTCACCGCATTCTCGTGGGGATACAACAGCTGATCGTTGGTACTTCTTACCGTCTCTATGTCCGCCCTCAATGTCTCATTGCCGTGCGATAACACCTGCAGTCTACTCTCGACGCTCGCGGTGGAGCTCCGGTAGCTCGCGATTTCGCCCTTGAGATAGTCCACTCGCGCCAGCAGCCTCTCCTTATCCACGTCCAGGCCCGACAGGCTCGCCTGCAGGACATTTATCGCGGCCGCATTGTCGCTCTCTTGCCTCAACGATAATATCGTGTTGTTACTCCGCGCGAGTTTGACCTCGGCCTCCGTTAACTGATCGCGCAGCGATTGATTCTCGTCCCGCAGCTTCACGATGTCGCCGTGCTTCTGCGTCACCATCGCGTCGTATTTGATGCTGCCGTGCGTCAGTGCCATCCTGTTCTTCTCGTCCTTGCACTCGAGCTCCGCGATGATCTCAGCGTTCCTGGAGACGGTCTCGTTCGCCTGTATGAGCTTATTCGTAAGATCGTTGTTCTTCATCTGCAGGTCGATCAATCTATCGAATCGACAAGTTGACTTAAGAATGATGAATCGAGTAATGACACGAAGAATCGAAATAATAATGAAGTTACCAACTTCTTTCTCATGTTCTCGACATTGTTCGTTTCCTCCCTCAGCACATCGACGGTCCGCCTCAAATCGTCTATCTGCTGAGTCAACTTGCGCATCTGGTCCCTCTGCGCTCTCATCTCTTCACCCTGCGCGTCGTTCTCCCTCGAAAGTGCGCTCTTCGCATCGACGAGCTCGGCGTTCTCGAGCTTCAACGTGTCGCACTCCGTGCGGTACGAGAGAATGTCATTTTCCAACGCGGTGAGGTGTTCGCGGAGCCTCTCGATCTTCGAGTCCCTTTTACTTATTACAGCCTCCAACAACCTCTCCTTCTCCAACATCTTTTTCCGCAATTGCTCCCGAATCGCGCAGTCGCCCTCACCCCTTCGCAACACGTGCTCCGCCACTTTTTGCTTCAATTCCGTGATCTCGAGGTCCTTCTTTTGCAGCTCGTGCTGTTGCTTCGCGTACTCTTTGACGATTTGCACGTGGTGATCACCGGCACCTTGACGAATTTTCATCATCTCAGGTGAGACGACGTGTTACTCGCCACGTGTCGAGTTCATATGAATTACACGAGATACTTTAAAACGTAATACCTTGAAGTACCGTGGATATTTCATGTATCTTGTCGATGGAACGTTTGATGTGCGTGGCGAGGGCACGATCGATATCCTCATACGAGATTACTTCGTTCAACTTCGCTTTTTCTGATTCTTCTGAGCATGTTGTGGTAGTATCAACGTCGTCCGACTGAATCTGAACGCTAACTAGTTCCTTGGACGAATGACAGCCGTCATTACTCGACGTTGAAGTATCTTCTGTAATATTATAAACTTGACACAAATCTGCATTGGATTATCTGTTAATACGCAATCAATTATTTCCTACTTGCGCTGCAGCGTCGTTGTTATATTATTTAATGGAAAATGTAAAATTTGATACGAAATTATTAGCGGTAAAAATGTATGCAAACAAATAACAGAAAAAGATATAAAATCTAAACATATTAAATTTAATTATATATTAAATTTAAAGCACACAGTAAAGCACTGAAAAAAATCTGAATAAATTTTCAAAAGTATACATATGTGATTGACAGAATAAAATTTAGCAAAAATTTAATAAAACCTTTTAACGTTACCAAAAGAGATTGAAAAGAGCGATCTCAGATCTGTAGATCTCAGGAATTTGGATCGTGAATAATTGAACCGTAACGCAGCAAGCTTGTACAAAAAAAAGAAGAAAAATAAAACGTAATTCTTTATTCAGAATCACCGATCCGAGCCGTAATAGCGCAAATTGATTTGACGCGAATACGACGTCAGATTATTGGAACAACAACCGAGGCACGTCACGGATGAAAAGATCCGTGCCCCCGGAATATACCTGCAGCCGGCTGAATCAATCCGTGTCCGGTATCAAAATCTGTGTTTGTAATTTCGCTGACGGTCTCTTGGCTGTAACATGCCACATAAGCCTTTAAGTTATCTATCTCCCGCAGACGATTACGCCGTTCTAGCTTACACTCCTCCAACTCGGCTATGAACGCATTTAAAGCGGACAACGCGCTCTGCACGTCTAAGCAAGTGTCGTGCTCGCACTTGGTGTAATCGCAAACGCCCTCGTACGCTATCTTAGACTCGTCGAAATTGTTCAGGCTACTTTTCAGCATGTTGGTCAGATTACCGACCTCCCGCTCCATGCAGACTAGCTGCATCTCGCACTGCGAGATCTTGTCGCTTTTCGCCTGAATCTCATTTCTCAAGTCGGCCACTATACCATTCATCTCTACCTGATCGTGAAAATTATTAGTGGAAGAAAAGGAACAATAGAAAGAGGTGCGCAAAATTAAAAAGAAAAGTTTTTCAAGAATAAACGTACACATAAATGAGACGAAGTTTCAAAACGTGCTTATATTACGTATCTACTTATACATTTTCCCGCAAAGACGATTTCAAATTTTGAATTACGACGTGTGCCAAGCAGTGACCGAGTTTATTAATGTTAAACGTCTAATGTTAAATCAACTTTTACAACGATCTGATTTTTTTAGTTAGTCTGTTACTTTGCAATGAAAATGTTATACGTTCGCGGAACGAAAAAAATATTAAAAAACGAAGAAAATTTTGAAAAATTATTTCTACACTCCTACGGTTTTCTTTTTTATTACTCAAAGCCGTAAATCTTTCAGACCTCATGATCGGTAAGCCTGCAAATATTCGTTAAATCTCTTCGATTATGTTTACGACGTTTTACCCTAATTACAAATTATGTAGCGTCGCCCTTTCTCGGTATTGTCGAATAATTTATTTCCTATATATTAATTGAAGTGAACGTTAAAATTAATGGATTGCGATGTGACGCACGTAGCCAAATGACGCACCTCACGAGTGTCAGCCGCAGCAGACTTTTGCTTTATCAACGTCGATAGTTGTTTTATTTCGTCTTCTTTGTCCGCCAACGTGCAACTTAGCTCGCGATATTGCTTTTGAAGCATATCACGTTCCCACCAGACATTTTTCATCTGCTCTAAAGCGATACCGCAGCTCTCCGCCTCTCTCGATAAATGCTCCATTTCCTTCACCTTCCGCTAAATTCATCACATATTTACACATGTTAATTCATCGAATTCATCCGAATTTAGCTTTCTCGAAGGAAATTACATGTGTATTGCACGGCGTTTCTACAACACACGCTTTGTGCGTACGTACCGTGAGCGATTCGTTTTCCACGGAAAGTAATTCTACCTCCTTAGCTTCCATCCTAAGTTTCTGGATTTCCTGCGATTGGAAATAACAAACTTGACATTTTCTAGCTAACTCCGCTTTCAACTGATCCACCAGGAACTCGAATGAGGAGAGCTGCGAGAAAGATACACACAAGATAGTACAGTTGAAAAAGAAATGTGTGTATAAAATCGTACAAACATCATTCAAATTCTATTACTTTTACGCTCAGATCTTCCATCTCGTCGTCGCGCCTGTCGCTCGTCATTTGCAATCTCTCTTGCAGAGTCTAGAGACGCGAGATTCAAATAATTACACTAAATTTTTAATCCAGCCCAAGTAACACTCGATTATCGACGACAAGGTCGAGATGACGTCATTTTGATTGAGACTTGATAAAGATTTCACTGAATATCGTGTCGATTTGACGTCACTGTGACATGGCGTGTTACTTGGAAAGTTAGTCGGGAGCAAGTACCGATTTACATTGAAATTACGTCTCAGAATGCCCGAGCTCTCGTCCTTCTCCTTTAACAGCGTCTGCAAATGCCTGATCAGCTCCCGCTGCTCCTCCAGCTCGTCCTCCTTCATCTGAAAAGCGAACGCGGGATAAATTTCGCCAGCCGTGCTTTCTGCCCTTGAAACTCGCGTCAATATAAAATCGTTGTTTCGTACGCCAAGCTCGTTCTTCAGCACGATAATTTCCGAATCCTTCTGAATAATCACTCCCTTGTGGCTCCTCTCGCAGGTCTCGGAATCCGAGTTCTCTAACTCGGTTTCGGACGTGGATACGCTTTCGCTGGTTTTGTAGTATTCACTGGAGAGCGAATCGACATTAGACTGTTTCTCGTCGTTCTCCTTACACTCTTCCGTTTGCACACCCATCTCGCGTACCTCTTGCGTCGCTTGGGAAGACGCGTCGACATACTCGACGCAGATGCTCGCTCGCTCGTTGCACTCTGCAAAATTCATAGCGGCTCGCAACGGATCGTTTAGCAAAGTGCCTTTAAAATTGGCCGAAGAGAATTCAAAACAAAACCGACCTCGCGCCTCTTCAATATTTCCGACAAATATTTAAAATAAATCGATACGTTTTTGCAGAATATTTTTATATTAATCATTTTTATTGTTAATATAATTTTTTGCAGCTTGAACCTTTTACCTCGCATGTTTCTCGCCTCGGTTAATATATTGCAGGACGTTACGCGCGACACCAGATAAGTATTATTTTCCGATAATGGATTCGCGTTCAGGCTCTCTCTCGGTACGCGCGTATTAGCTAACAGAGGCGGATAGCCGCCTCTGCCGTAATATCGAAATCCGTCCGGGCGAAAGTAAATCGACAAAAAAGTGTCGGAACATTGCAGGGATGCGGTCCTGCCCGCGTTGATGAATAATCTATGCCCCTGAGAGAGCGGTCTTATCACAGATCCAATTCTCATTCCCTCCGTCTCATCGTTGGTCCCGTCAGTGGCTCTATCCTGCAACAACGAAGAACCATTACCATTCGACCGAAGGGCTTAACACGCTCTCACGGAAGCTCACGAGATTCTCCAGGTGCTCCCGTTGCTCCGGGGTCAGATTTAATGATCTGTATCGCTGCAGTTCCCGCCGCGCGACTCGCAGCTCACGCTGAGCTTGTGCCGTAAGTGCCATCATGTTTTCTATTATCACGCTGGATGGTATCAGTTTCACCGGCTGCGCACAAAGGGAATATACCGAGATAACTGAAATTTTCCCACTGACAGTAACGGTGGGTAAAGCCCAGATTTCGACAGATTTCAAGATCGCTTTCATTGAAAAAATTATGAATTATTTACACAGTTGTATAAATAGATAAAAAATTAATCTTTTTCCGGGACAAGCTCGAATCCAAAGGCGGATTTTTAAAAGAAAAAAGAAAAGATCAACGTGGAAAACGAACCAAAGGTTTCGCATGCTCGCTGAGCTCGCGAAAGTAGCGCGTGCCCTCCAAGACGTTCGGACTCCACGCCCGAATATCCGTACACGAATTGTACAGCTTCAAGCGACCTTCCGATCTTTTCTGTGGCAGAATGTAATCCCCGTAAGTCAAAGGTACACCGCCGTCGGGTTTGCCCGTCAAAAAAATACGGGGTCCATGCTCGGCGTAAGACATCTTTCTCTTTCTCGCCGCGGTGCCGCGGAAATCCACTCACGATCCAATATTTGCAAAATTTTCCGTCTTCCCCTAAAATTCAATAAACGATCGTGAAGCGTTCAATTTTTGCGAACATTATGTCCCACGCAAAATTACAGGTTTTGTTGGTTGGCGCTCTATCATATTTTATTTACACACCATAGTAACCGCGACAGAGAGAGAGGGAAGCCGGAAGCGAGAAGACATCGATTCCGGGGGATCCGCTTTTCTGCGGGATTACGTGAACAAATAATAGGGACCTTTGACTATAATCTATATAAATAGTCAAAGATAGGGACGACCTAAAAAATATACAATAAAATATCTTTATTTCATAAGCTGCCGTTAAAAAGAATTACAGCGTTAATAAGTATTTTCGTCCTTCGTGATTCATTAATTACCGCTTATCCGCACTAAGGAGTACATGCGACGTACCACGTTAAAAATATATCTAATTTCTCGCAAACGCTAATTTAGCACTCCCTCCAAAGTAACAACTACGGTTCGATAAAGCGCTTAGTACAGACGCAGACGAATAAGTACTTCTTGCAAAACGTAACTAGTCCGTACTCTATTTGGTTAAGTACAAAAATGATTCTTCGCTTCGAGCGATAAAATTCGTACAGATTAAACTTAAAGTGATTATCTTACAATAATACTAATCCTTCAATTCATCCTCTCGCTCAAACATTCTCTCTCTTTCTCTCTCTCTCTTTCTCACTCTCTTTTTTTCTTGGACTCGCATACCATAAATACCTTTTTTAAAAAGATATTTAGATATTGTACATCTTTTTTAGATATTATACATGATCTATGACGCATGGACACTCGGCCTAATAAGTTGAAAAGAAATGTATAAGGTATATATATCTTAACGATCGCGCAAGTGATACAATGCGATTAACAATTTGGCAATAATGGTACAATATGGATACGATATGGCCCGTTAAAAATAGCGCTTATTGCGGAAGTCCAAGTGATAGATTTGCGATTTACGAAAAAGATACACTCAATAGAAAAATATCTAGAATATTATAAATATATATATCTTTGTATATATTTATATATGTACATGTCTTTTCTCGAATTAAGTAGAAAAAGTGGGCTTGAGCGTATATAAAAATGGACTCGTGTAACTACGAAGGCAGTATAGATATCTTAGAAACGGTATCTCGTTCACTCCCCTCACTCCTCCTCGATGATGTAAATATAACTGGAATGTGATATTTCCTAACGTATTAATTCAATTCACTTCGATGAAGGCACGCAAAGAACAATATTTTACACACGTGAAAGTACGATCGATTATACCTGACGTTTCCGTCGATACACTTAACCGTCCTAATAAAAAGCATTACCCTTCGATCCTTAGTCCGCAATTGGATAACAGATAACAATGATAGATAAAAATGAAATTAAAATTCGAAAACTTCAACAGTCTAAACATGCGGTGGTGTGGACGTAGTAGATACACGAATAGGCGTGTGGCTGCATTTATAAGGGAACACTTGTCCTTTTTCTATCGTTTTTTTTTTTTACACTAACTGGAATGGTGTATCATGTAAGGCCACTCTTTTTTGCTTTTGGAGCGTTATTTGTCAGGCAGCAAAATTTATATTATCGATATCTTCTTCGTGACAGTGTAGCCTAAAACACGATGCCCCAGAGTAACGGATGATCAGTTGCGAAGTATCTAGACACGAGCAATTTTCCTAATTCTAAAATTCGCAGAGCATCACCGTAAGGAGTATCAGTCACAGACAATTTATAATACTGTGCAGAAATTGTCTTTTTTTTTCGCGATTATTTCTCTCGTTTTTTCCTATGCTTGTACTATGATACTTTATAACGGATCGTCCATTGCCGTCCTATAACTTGTAAATATAAAACGCTCTACCCCCTACAGGTGCAATACACCCTGATCGTAATTTTGGTGATGGTGATGATGATGATGATAAGGATGGTGTTGAGTGGACGACGCCGAGGCGTCGTCCTGCATCGTCATGCCTGTGAGATCGACGATCTCGTCCGCCTCTTCGTCACTACCGGCGCTCTGCGTGGACTGACGACTTCCTGACGATAATTGACTGTTGCGCGAGAACGAACCACGGCGAGGTGCCGTTAACGCTGCCCTTTGATTCGCCGGCTTGACGGTGATGATGAGATTGGAGGAATTCGCTATCATCATATCTGTCACCTGTTTCATGCACGAATAAGTATAAAAAATAACAGGAAGAAAAAAGAAAGGTATTTTGCTTTATGCAGATGTACTTTATTTATATAGGATTTAAAATATTTTGGATGTTATTAGAAAAATGCAATGTGACGCAGCAATTGAATTATATTATTACGTATTTAATGAAAATATTTTATTATCTCAAAATAAAGGAAATGTTATTTCATAATTCTACTAGCACAACTATGATTGTTATATTAAATATATATTTGGAAATTTGGTGCGACTCGATAAATCATTTTTTTGTAAGATTATCACTTACCTGATCGAGAGTTTTGCCCGCGACTTCAATACCATTCACTTCCAGGACCTCGTCATTCACCGCTAGAAGCCCTGTGCTCTCTGCCAAGCCACCCGGCACCAATCTACTGATGAACACACCTGGAACTTTCTCAATCCCCCCACCAGCGGACGGCGGCAGTATGCGAAAGCTTTCACCATCTTTGATATAAAATCCTAAGGGCTTGTCGGACCCGTGTTTCAATAGGCGCACACGTCGACAGGTTTCTGGCAGTATGTCGACATCGATGATTGCGGACACCTGACAGCGAGTGTGAATAAGTAAGTGGATCGCCCAGTAAAATCGCGCATTGGAAAACGAAAACGAGAGGGGCGAACTTACCTGCCGAAAATCATGTGGATTTGAGATAACTATGGACTTCGGCTTTCCTGGTGTGCCGCCCAAGATACTGGATATCAAGTTTTTAGGCTTTATTGTGCCGTATCCATTGTCCCACGCCCCGTCGCCTGTAGTGACACAACGGTCCAGTTAAATGCACACGTGCAAAAAATTTATACACGTACAGAGGAGCGAGGAGCACAGTGCAACGTGCGGGAGAATCCTACCTTTCCTGTGTATAAAAATTCTGAGCAGGCACTTGGCATTCGCTAGAGCCCTCGCCAGATTGTTATCATTATTGATGGGAAGTAGATCACCATCTGTGTCCGTGTACCAGATCGAAAAGTTAAAGTCCGCACCCAGGTCGTGCCGTTGCGCCAGCAGCTTCCCGAAGTCCTCGTAGCTCATGGGCTCGTTACGATTCATGGAGAATCTGATGATGTCGGCGTCGAACTGCAAAACAAAATTTAAATAACGTGATGCGCGATCCCGCGAACGTCCTCCACGTATCGCTACTCCAGACGTTCACGACGCTGACGTGTACACCCACTTTGCTCTTCACGGCGACGATGCCGCTGTCCACCTTGTCCTGCTTCTTGGACATCCTCGGAGCTGCTTTCACCCAACCGACGTACCACTGCTTACGGCTGACTCAAACTAGCCTACGCGAGGAGGACGGGAAGACGTGCATACCGAACTGCGAACGAGTAACGACGTGCGCGCGGCGCACCTCGGCTGCGACCACGGTGAAATTCCTAAGGATTCTCGCTAGGGATTTCTATTGATCCCACCAGATGGCGTCAATTGTCCCTAGTCACTTGACGGCATGGCGCGATTTCCGATTGGCTGCAAATCCAACGCGAAGTGTTTCCTGGATGCTGGATGCTGCAACGCAGTTGGACTGCTTGTTTCGCCTCTGTCTCATCGCCCTCGTCGGGTGATCATATGTCAATATTGTTGATGCTCCGTGCTGCCCGGCACTTCTTACAGTTGTGATATTTCACATTTATTCCTTTAAGAATTAACAACAGAAAAGGATATATGTAGAATAAAAGTGTAAAGAAAATCAGATAAGACGTAAGGAAGAAATAAATAAGTAATAATTTTAGCTGATATAAAATCAACTAGAAACAAACTTTATTTTTTTACGCATATTGTATTTAATGTCACGATTTGTAAAATTAACACCACATTGTAAACAAGTCGGTGTAACTTTGTGTGCAGATGAGTGATCAAGATCCAACGAGTATTATTAACATGATAAAGGACCTGCGTTCTGGAGCAGACTCTTACCGCAGGAGCGGAGGAGTCCCGGTACGTTTCTCGGGAACTGGCTACATATCTTCGAAGTTCAATGAGAGCGCAGACGACAGCATCACTTCGCCCAAACGTCCGAGGATAGATGACTCCGATACGTCTGTAAACAATAAGACTCAGTCTGACTCTGTCCCGGGTAGTCCTTGGGAATGGCGACGTATGAAAGGAGAGGTAAGACTGATATAATGTGAATATGAAAAAAGTAAATCTGGAAGAAAAAAAAAAGAGATTGGAAGATACATTTCCGTGCAGGTGATATCGTTAAAGACCAGACTGATGCATCAAGAGGCGGCTGTGCAACAGCTACACAATATACGTAGGCAGATGGAGGAGGTCTTCGAGAAGGAGAAGGGTCTCCTGCAAGTCCAGTCGGAGCAGGATAAGCAAACCATTCAACAGCTGGAGGTCCGACTTGACGTTGCACGGCGGACGATTCAGGATGTGAAGGAGACGCATGATACTGCGGAGAAGGAATGGTCCCAAGTAATTGTTTTTTTTATATATATATATTGTATAGTTTTTGTTAGGTTAAATCAATCTTGACGCTCTGCATTTAATTAGGTAAGGAACGGCTTGGAAAGGAAAATAGCATCGTTGCTAAACGAAAACGCACAATTGTCGGAGAATCTAAGAAATGTTACCGCAAACGAAAAATCTCCACCTCCTGAAGATATCAACGAGTCGAGTGAATTGCAAATGAAACTGGAAACTGTGGAGGCCAGAGCAGCAATGCTGGAGGAAAGGATGAAGGATCATCTCAAGATGCAACAGGACTACGAATTGCAGAATGTGGAGCTGCAGAACATGAAAATGAAACTGGAGAAGCTCGAGTCAGAGAGAGCGTTGTGGGAGGAGGGCAAGCTGCTGGTGGGAAGAGCCGCGCGAGCGAACGACCTCGAGAAAGAGTTGAATGCGGCGAAGAAGACGATTGTAGTGCTGAAAGAGTCGGTCAGGGAGAAATTACTTTTGGAGGAGCAAATGGCCAACATGACAAAGAGGTTAGGTTTCGACATGGTCTTTAACGATATCACCTGCACGGAAATGTATCTTCCAATCTCTTTTAAGATAAAACGTCGTGTCTAATTAACGGTGTGCACGCTTTGTTGCAGGCTAGAGCATACGGAAAAGGTGGAGCAACAAGTGGCAGTGTTAGAGGCGAAGCGATCCGAGCTCGCGCTTCGCTTGCAGGAGTACGAAACGATTGGCATTACCGGCGGACCGGCGGCGATGAAGAGAGAGTTGAATAGACTTCAGCAAGCTGAGGTGGATCTGAGAGCAGAGGAGGGCCAGCTCAGATCGAAACTGGACGCGGTTCTGCGAGAGTTGCAGAATCTGTCAAAGAATTACGAGGAGGCGAGGAAGCTGGCTGCTGACGTGACGTTGTCGAAAGAGAAACTGAGCAAGCTGGTGAACAGACTCCAGAAGAAGATGATTCTCGTCACCAGGGAGAGGGACAGTTACAGGCAGCAATTAGATTTGTACGAGAAGGAGATAACGGTGGACGGCAACAATGCGATGACCGAACGAATACCGGCCCTGGAACGTGTTATCGACGGATATAGGTACACCTTTACATACTGACGTGTTTATTCAGCAAATATTCAGTTAAATTAAATTATATTTCATGAAAGAGAAAAATATTCCAAATTTTCTTAGGGACTTGGTCAGCAAATTGGAAATGGATCTTCAAGCGGCCGAGACTGGCACTCAGAAGAACGAGTGCAATAAATTGAGGGAAGAGATCGAGCAGTTGAGAGGCGAGCTTGAGCATCGCGCGTTGAAGGGCGACTTCAACTGCAACGCCCGAGTTCTGCACTTCACGATGAATCCCGCAGCGATGGCGGAGAAGCAAGCCGAGGAGAAACAAGCGGCTCTATTACGAGAAGTTGAGGAGCTTCGTGCCAAGGTGGCGTCGGGAAATTATGGCGCGACTGTTTCCTCGTTGCAGATACAAGGTGTGGATAAATATATTAAAGCATATTTTTATTTTCTATATTTTTTTCTGCGGAGCAATACATTCTCTTATTTTTACTTAATACAGAAATCGCGGAGCTGAAGCAAACACATGAAATAAAGATAGCACGTTTGAAGGAGGCTTTCAAGGCGTCCTCGCAAGAGTATCGCCAAGCGTGCTACCAGCTGTTCGGCTGGAGGGTGGATCGAACGAAAGAGGGCTGCTACAAGCTGTCGAGTCAATACGCAGAGTCGCCGGATGACTTCCTGTTTTTCCACGTAGGCGAGGAGGGTGTAGATATGTTGGAGACCGTCTTTTCCGCGAATCTGGGCAGCTTGATCGAGCAATACCTGCAGAGGCAGCACAGCGTCCCCATGTTCCTCAATGCCGTGCAGTCCGATCTGTTCAGCCAACAAACGGTGACAAATGTCATGACATAATATTGTTTCATGTCTGTAATTAAAACTGATATAGCTTTTATTCATTAAGCTTCAATATACAATGATTAATAAATATATAATGGCTAATAAATTTCTATAATTCTGTCTGTACAAAAAGCTGTGTTTATTCACACATTAATCTGTTGAAGTCCATTTAATTCGAAATTAATTGTTTATTCATAAATGATATAACATAATAATTATTCATTTCATACGCACTCGCCGATGCGTTATTTCAAATCTATTCTACCTTGCGCTGATAATGTATCTTCTCTATCTTCAGTTGCTACGAAAAATATCTGCCATGACAGTTCAGAATATTCTCAAGAAATTTCTAATTTCTACATATTTAATTATCAATTGTAAATAAAAAAATAGACGATAAAATTAAATTTCCGCCTAAAATATTTTGCAACAGAATATTAATATAAAATATTATATGTCGGATAATAAACGTTTTTTTAGAATAACACATACTCATTCTATTTGAAATTATAAAAAATATATTTAAATTAAAATATTCAAAAGTTTAAAAGTAAAATTAGCAATAATATTGAGTTAATATAATTTTTAATGATTGAAGACATAGACATTGAAATAAAAACAATGTATCTTTTTATCTTATGCAAAGTAAAAAATTGCAAAAATTACTCGATAAAGTTATTAAAATTCAATTATATAGTTGATCGTCACTGAACATGCTCCTTATATCATTAATTGATTTTAAAATATACGGCTTGAACTTTATATTTTCCCATGATTCTTTGATAAAAGCCAACGTCGAGGAGACTCACTGAACTCTTATCACGCATAAAAATCCTATGAGAGGACGTCGAAGTTGAAAATCGCGTCGGGCCATCGGCGGCCGTCCCGCGGGAGACGTTACCGTCTCAGACACGCTCGTACGTGCCTAGAAAAGGGAGGCTTGTCCCAAAAGAGCGATTCCCATTGCTTTGTTCGGCGAAGGAGATGCGATGGTGGTCTTCATTAGTGAGTAAGCCACTATATGAGTTCACACACCGGTACATGTGAACAAATGTGAACTCACACATTTCTAAAATTTAACGTGTCTGCCTGCGTGTAAATATGTGTACATCTGGGTGACCAAAAGCATTTCGTGGTAACGAAAGGGATGAGAGGAGAGGAGAGGAGAGGAGAGGAGAGGAGAGCGAGAGCAAGAGAGAGGGGGGGGGAGAGAGAAAACGGTCGTCTGT